GCAGGCAATGGGAACTTGTCACTGCCGCAGGCCTCACTCTTAGCTTGCTCCTGGGTACTAGCTTGGCAGGGATAGGGACGGGGATGGCTTCATTAATTACTCAGGGCAAATACTATTCAGATCTAAGGGCTGCCATTGACCTGGACATTGAGCAACTTGAAAACTCAATCTCTCACCTACAGGAGTCTCTCTCATCTCTCACTGAGGTTGTATTACAAAACCAGCGAGGGCTAGACTTAATCTTCCTGCAGCAAGGAGGGCTTTGTGTGGCCTTGGGGGAGGAATGCTGCTTTTATATTGACCATTCAGGAATAGTCAAGGAATCTATGGCTAAAGTAAGGGAAAGATTAGCAAAGAGGAAGCAAGAGCGAGAGGCCCAGGAAGGATGGTTTGAGTCTTGGTTTAATTCATCTCCCTGGCTCACCACTTTGCTCTCAGCCTTAGCTGGACCTATAATCCTCCTCTTATTACTGTTAACTGTCGGGCCATGTATCATCAATCGGTTGGTTACTTTCATCAGAGAACAAGTGAGCACAGTACAACTCATGGTTCTGAGGTCCCAGTATCAGCCCTAGGACGCCTGTGTAGGGACCCTAACCTGGACCCAAGATTGGGTCCTCTCTAAGTTACAAAGAAAAGGGGGGAATGTGAAGCCCTCCTCCTTGACCCCCTGCCCTGGACTCCTGAGACCCCTGCTCCTCTTTAGGACTAACTGCTCTTTTTCACTTCTGTAAACTACTTGATTGCTTGATTGAAAGGACAAACTATATTGACCCCATTGTGACTAGCTGTTTCAGGCAAGCCTGAACATGCCCAGGCATGTCGTAATCTCCACCTGCCACCCCCCACCCCAGGAGGCTATAGGTCAAGCAAGCCCAGACATATAGCAGCCTTATAAGGTAGAAACGAAGACTTCTGGCTCTACAGGTAACAGCACATTCCACAGCTCTTAGGGTAGCACCCACCAATGAGAAGCCCCCAGGACTGCATCTCCTATAACCAATCAATTCAAAAGTGTGTTGGCGCACACAGGCTCCTCGGGACAGTCAAAGTGTGACTCTGTTATTCCCCTCCTCCCTTTGTCTAAAACCTATAAAGTGCTCTCAGCACAGATCCATTGCGTTGGTGAGGTCTGAGAGCCCGAGCTTAAGCCCAAATAAAGATTCTTTGTTCTTGCATGCCCTCTGGATTCCACGGTTATTCTTGGGGGTCTGTTCTCTGGGCACAACAGTATTGTGTGTCTGAGATATTCCAGAACTAGGGATGAAAAGGCAAAATTGATATGAGGGTGGATCCAAACTTGTACTACCCCAGTTGAAATTATGGGTGGGGCCTGACTTGAGGACACAGTTACAGAACACAGATGGTTCCAAGAGATGTGTGTGTGGGGGAACCAGTGTCCTTTGAGTTTGTGCCCAGTCTTTAAAAAGATGGTTTATTCAGGTAACTATAATGGTGTAGTAATGCCACGCTCAGTCCTCATTCATTTTATGACTGGTGGTTGGCTGATGCTTCAGATAATACTGACTTTTGTTGGTCAAAAAATACTACTTTAGAAAAATAACAAAGGGTGTTGGGGAGATGGTTCAGGGGTTAAGGGTGCATACTGTGTCTGAGACATGGTAGCACACCCCTTTAATCCCATCCCAGCACTGGAGAGGCAGAGGCAGGTGGATTTGAAGTCCACATAGTGAGTTCCAGGCCAGCTAGGCCTATGGGAGACTCTGTCTCATAAAACAATAAATAAACAAAATAAAAAGTATATTATTCTTGTGGAGAATCTGAGTTTGGTTCCAAACACCCATGTCAGGTGACTCATAACTGCCTGTAAGTCCAGCTACAGGTGATCTGACACCTCTGACCTCCACAGACACTTGTACTCACAGGCACATATAAATAGACATAATAAAAAACAATAAAATAATTCTTAAAAAAGTATAAAGGCCCCAAAGAGTGGAACTGCTTCATTGCTTTCAATCCTATGCACTCAGCCCACCATCTCTAGGGCCCACTCCCAGATCCTGACCCTATCTGCCTCTCTTACCTGCTATTTACAGCTCCTCTCACTACACTCCTGTTTTCTGACTTTTCTATTTCAGCTCCTTCAATTCTACCCTGCTGAAATCTCTGCCCCCTCTGGGGAAATAACAGAGAAAATAAATGGATAGACAACGATTGAGGCAGGCTGGTCAGGCAGGTGACATCTGAGCAGAGCTGAATGATGTGAAAAATGAGCCGTGTGTTCACCCTTAAGCTGAAGAATGCTTTGTGCCTCTGAGGGACCGAATAGGAGGCCAGTGGGGCAGGAACACAGAACAAGGAGCAAAGTGGGAAGAGATGAAGTCACAGCAGTGCTTTTACATCAAGCAGATGGAATTCATTTCTTGTTGATTTCATAGATGCCTATACTAATTTCATGCTTCGAACTCTAAATAGGAACACTATGTAACTATTATATTTTATAGCTCACAAATGACATGAATTAGGAAAATGAGAAGGAAGACATGTGAAGAAGAGGATGATTTGGAGTGAGAAAATCTGATATGGAGTCCAGGGAGCTGCTGTGTGTTATTTGTACATGGTGGGTGTACCTTGTTCCCTTGCCAGAAATTGGAAATGATATCCACTCACCCACCCCTCCATCGACCCCAGATTACACTGATAACAAGAGATAGTCTGTGTGAAAGCTGCAAATGAGTCTCAGCCTGTAGACAGTGACTGGGGAAACAAAACTGAGGCAGACAAAAAGAAGGCTTAATATATGTCACAATGGTAGTAAACTCGGTGCAATTCTTTTGGGCTGAACAGTGCATTATTATGGTTACCTTGTTTAGTCTTCACAACAACCCCAGAAGATAAGTTCTGTTGTTATCCAAATTTAAAAATTAAAAAAAATTCTCAAGTACTTTATCATTTGTTACACTATATATATATATATTTATTATGTGTGTATGTCTCTCTCTATGTGTGCATGCGTGAATGTGGGTGTGCACATGCCAGTGTGCATGTGGAGGTCAGACGACAACTTGCAGAAGTTGGTTCTCTCCTTCCTTCAAATGGGTCCCAGGATTGGATCCAGATTGTCAGGCTTGGCTGCAGTTGCCTTTACCCACTTGCTGAACCATCTCACCGACCCTATCCTCATTTTATAATAGGGAGGTTCAAGATGATATTTACCCAGAGTCATATAGACATTGGGTCCTAGGCTTCATATTCTAAAGCAGATACATTTTATCCAAAGGCAAGTCCTCTGAACACTGTCACTTATTGCATATTTATTTTAATTTAGAACAAATGGTAATAAACTTGTTTATCTGTTCCCAACCCACTGATTTCTGGTACCTATAAATTAAGGATGAGCAGTTTTTGCTAGGAGTGGACATCCTAATGTTAGAAAACTTAGGAAGACCAGAGATGCACATACAGACAAGTGAAAAGAAAGCACCCGAAAACGAATCTGAGGCTAGTGACAAAGGGGTGCCTCTACATCTCACAAGCCTTCACATTTCAGAGTCTCAGGGCATCACTGAAGATGCCCACCACATTAACCATGGTTCATAAGGGATGACTCCCAACCACCAAGAAAGGGTTGGTTGTGTCTACTCTTAAAGGAAGGGTATAACATTTGGAACATTTCTGTCCAAAATGCTTAGGAAAGTTGGAAAAGTGAGAACATAATCCAGTTCTCATGTTTATATAGATTACATTACTTCTCAATAAATAAGACATAATTATTTTTAAACATTCATATGCTATCATGTCATAGTATGATCCTACATATATAAAATTCAAAACAAGGAAAACCTAAACTGTAGTGTTGAAGGCTACATACTTAGGAGGGAAGGTGAGAACAAGGATGTGTTCACTGTACAAATCAGAGGAGTCACTTATGTATCGGAGGGACTAGTTGCTGAGAAGGGTATGTGGGATGGTGATGTTCTACTTCATGACCTTAGTTACGGTGACATAGTGTCTAGTAATTAGTAAACTGTATTTGTAGGATTTAAACACTTTTCACTTTTGTGTTATATTTCACGTTATAAAGTCAAACTTAGGGACTAGAGAGATGGCTCAATGGATAAGAGCACTGGCTGCTCTTGCAGAGGACCTGGGTTTGGTTCCTAGCACCCATATGGCAGCAAACAACCACCTGTAACTCCAGTTCCTGGGGATTCAATACCTTCTTCTGGCCTCCATGGGCACTGTGTGACATGGGTGCACTTACATACATACAATCAAAACACTCATACATATAAAATAAAAAAAATTTTTAAGTCAAACTTAAAAAAATGAAACTTTGGGCTGGAGAAATGGCTCAGAAGTTAAGAACACTTACTACTCTTGCAGAAGATGCAGGTTTGGTTCCCAGCACCCATTCGGCATCTCACAAATACCTGTAACTCCAGTTCCACTGGATCTGATGCCTTCTTCTGGCCTCTGTGGGCTCTTGAACACACATGGTACATATATACTCATGCATATACATAACTTTTTTTAAATATTAAAAAATAAATAAAAGTTTGGTGTGGTGACACATGCCTTTAAGCTTGGTGTGGTGACACATGCACTCAGGAGGCAGAAAGGCAGATCTCTGTGAGAATGAAGTCAGCCTCGTCTGCACAGTGAATTCCAGGTCAACTGGGGCTACAGTCTCAAAACAAAATGATAATAATAAAGTAAAAAACAACCTATGACTAATAAAGAATATAGTTTATTTGCTTAGATGTATTTCATGGATTCCACATTTGATACTCTTGCCAATCCCTATAAGGTGGACAGGGCAGGCTTTGTCATCATTTTAAAGACAGGGTCCCTGCAATGCTACAGGGTTTGCTGTGTTGCTCTCACCCACATAAGTTGATGGGTGAGCTGGGACTCTGTCTCTAAGGGTCTGCCTCTCCTAGTCTCTACCCCAACTCTTCATAGCACAGGAGCAGAATACATTGCAGAACATTGGAGGTCAGTGAGTTAGGGAGTTTCTTCAGGGATCCAAACCTTACCTGTCACAATGCTCCACTGCAATTTTGAACTTGCTCTGGGAATCAGTCGTCAGCTCCCTGACCATGGTAAACCATGCCCGGAAAAACTTCTTCTGCAGTAAGTCTACACATAATTTTCTTACTTCTTTCTCCATGTTAGTGACATACTGGGGGTGAGGACAGGAGTAGAAATGAGACAAGTAATATCAGTAGACACGGAGTCAGAGCAAGTACACAGCACAAATGGGTGAGAATTGAAACAGAAACATACAAAGCACGGGAACATAGAGCACTAGAAGCATAAAGAGAAAAGGGTAACATGGAAGCCAAGGTACTATCCTCTGTAATATATTCCAGCAATAACAGAACTCCAGAAGTAGAAAGAGGTATATGGTTGACAAGAGAGGTTTATAATAAAATCACATTAGCACTGTGAGACAAGAAAAGGAAGTCAGTAGGAAAACAAAAGCTGATGTAAGACACATTACAGTGTACACATAAACACTTTATGGGAAAGGAGACATGGTGCTTGAAATTTTATACTAACTGAAGCTGACTTAACATTTCAAATTCATTTCAAAGAAATGTACTGGATTCACTGTGTTGTACTGTTCTTGATAAAATCAAAATGACCATGGCATTCTGGAGTTCTAGTTTTCTTGTGAAGGGCTGAAGAGGAAGATATACTTATTTAGTTTGGTTTTTTGAGACAGGGTCTCAATTCTGTACCCCGAACTGTCCTCAAACTTGTGGCAATCTTCCTGTCTCAGTTTCCCAAGTGCTGGGCTCATAGGCATGTACTACCACACTTGGCTCAAGGAGATGCATTTAAAGTGCCCTTCCCTGTGGCCTTACCTGTAGCCAGCTCCGCATAACTCTCCTGAGCAAGATCTGGGAATAAAGTTGGTCAGCCTTGGCTATCTTTGTAGCCAGACTTTGCTGGCTGTATTCGAACCAGCTGAGCAGATATTTTCTCTGTAGAGCCAAAGAGTAGTGTTCTTCTGCTACCTGGACAATGTTTTAAAGAAGTGGAAGTTATTCCTTAAACTTTAGATAATTTAATGAAAGACAACCAGCCCATGAAATGACTTTAGCACATTTAGACAGTTACTAGAGAAGATTATCTTGAGGAATCTACAGTCTACGCCCTATAATTACTGCCCCTGTTCTGTGGAGGTTACAGATTCATATGCATGGTCTTTCAGTGCTGACTCCCTGGAGACCACAGAGACTGGCTGGTTATAGAAATGTAATAAGCAACCTTCAAAGCCATCATTTCGCTTCCACTGAGTTTTGGAGTGAGTGGCTGGCAACATTCTCAGTTTGCTCTCCTGGAGCAATTCCATAACAATTCCACAACAGACCTCTCTTTATTATGTACTTAACCATTGTCCAATTGAGGAAATGCCAATACTTTCAATTAGTTTTATACAGTGAACTGTCACTAGGATTGAAATTTAGACATTATCAATAAACCACAAAACCATTGATACAAAAATAACATGATGAATACTTTAATGTCCTACCAATTTAAGTAATCTATCATTCTATTAAAATAAACATAACTCACTTTATACATTTGAAAAAGCAACTGTTATATGCTTTCAAGAGACAGGAGGAAAAACCCTTCTTTTAGTCCTTTCCAGACAATAGCACATTGCCCTAAGGCTTGTCTAGCCCTCCAGCTCTGTGAACATGATTCAGCCAAGCAAATCTACTGGTATTCATATTTACTGGCCAAAATGACCATCATAGGGGTCTCTGTGATACATTCAAGCCTGGAAGCCAAATGGCAAGATCAGAGTTCATCTGTTTTGAACTTCTAGATCATTTATTTGAATTCCTTGTTCTATGTACCATATAAATTTGTCAGGCAAATTTGAGACATTTTATTGGTGTTTGAGTTCATGGTTCTAAGTGGCAGAGTAGACTGTTGCTCTCCATAATAGCACCATGTACATCCCTGTGCAGTGCGATTTCACAGCACCTCCTAATGGCATAATTTAGGAGCCTCGTATCCCCTCAATAACCTTGAGTTTGGCCTTATGATTTGCTTTGTTCAATAAAATATTAGTGGACAGTGTTAGGTAGCTGGTTAGATTAGTGGATTGGAGGACCCTGTTGGTGGACCTCTACTTCATAATCAGCAGGTTGTAAAATCAAGGACTATAACTGCAGAACTCTGATTACTAGTCAAAAAAATGGGACCTGAATATATCTATGGCCTTGGGAAGAGATGTGACATTCACAACTGCCTAGAAGGTTACTAATAGGTAACTATCTTGTTTTTTAAAAGATTTATTTAATTTTTACTTCTGTGTCTATGTACCCGCAGAGGCCAGAAGCAAGCATTGGATCCCTTGGAGCTGGAATTACAGGTGGTTGAGAGCTGGGAAACAACTCTGCTCTACTATAGGAGCAACAACTCTCAACTACTGAGCCATCCCCACAGCCCTAATAACTATTTTTAAACATTTTTTTTCATTTATTTATTTTTATTTTATGTGTCTGAATGTTTTACCTGCATGTATATGTTTACCATGTGCAAGAAGTCCCTGTGGAGGTCAGACAAGGGCATTGGATACTCTAGAACTGGAGTTAGGGATGGTTGTTAGCTGCCATGTGGGTGATGGGAACTGATCCTGGTTTTCTGCAAGAGCAGCCAGTGCTCTTAACTGCTGAGCCATCTCTCAAGCCCCCTGCTAACTATTTTCTAGTCATTAAAGATTGCTATCTACTTTGAGGCTTCCTGATATGAAACATAGACATACTATTGCTTTCTCTTATCAGAGTCAGTCCAACTGGGTGTGTCACTCACCTGGACAGACCAAGTATTTCAGGAAAAGTTGCTTGTTTTAGAGACTTTAGAAACATATAAAGCCTGCCTGAAAATGTTGATAAGGACAGGGGTCTCTTTGGTCATTGTTCGGTCCCACCCCTTAGGGTAATAATACACTTTATCCTGCACAAAGTCCTCTACTTTACCTATGTTTCACACTATACTCTGTGTGACTCTGAATTCCTTTGATGGAGATCACAAGGATCAGGGAGCCAAGGGGTCAGGAATGAGATCCTGGTGACAGACAGAAGTTCATAGGGTTTACATAATTCAGCTTGGTACATCTGATAATTAATTGCCAGGTGGAAGGCACACCCTGAGTAGCTGTGGAACCCAAGTGACTAGGGTTGGGGAGAGACTGGAATCAGATCTACAAGTGGCCTGAAGACATTTGAGAAATGAATGCTGGAGTAGGAATCTACTGAGATTTGGGGTGATTTATACAAATTTATCATAACTGGAATCTAGTCAACCTTATAACGTTTTCTATGTCTTAAACTATGCTAAAACTGAGGGAAGCCTCTATTCATCCTACCTTGGCAATCTCTAATAAAACAATTTCTCCTAGGTTTTTCAAACTTGTTAAATTATAAGTATTTAGACAGTCAAATCTAAACTCTTATTCAAAACAGAGATATATACATATTCAAATTAGTTCTCTTTCTGGCTTATATCACTAAACTCCCCACAAAGCCCCAGTATGTGTTCATGCTATTGAGAAAGTCCCATTTTCTTTTTTAAAAATATTTTTAAAATTATTTTATGTGTATGAGTGTATCGCCTGCATGTGTGTAAGTGCACCCATGTCATGCAATGCACCAGAGGTTAGAAGAAGGGCTTGGATTCCCTTGGAACTGGAGTTACGGATGGCTGTTAGCCACCCTGTAGGAGTTGGGAATTGAACCCGGGTCCTCTGCAAGAGCAGCCAGTGCTCTTAACCACCGAGTCATCTCTCCAGCCCTGAAAACTCCCATTTTCGAACTCGGGCTAACATCCCGATGGTGTACCTCAGTGTTTTGCCTGCTTTGCATTCTTAGTCTTTTCCAGGGTTCGAGACCTTTTTTTCTTAACAAGACCTTTTCATAGTGCTCCTTGGCTACTGCTTCCAACTCTCGGTTTCTCTTAATTCTCTTCTGTTTTTCTAGTTCTTGCTGGAAAAAAATAATAAAGCAAAATTATCATTATTAAAAAAAAAGAACTGAAAATTTTCATTTCACCAAAAAGTTACTGAATTTTAGCATGTAATCACTGTACAGTATGCTGGTCAGTGTAACAAGCAGGAACATTTAAAAAGAAAAGAGAGAATTCTGCTAAGAGGGTCAGGAAAAGTTGGTTATGAGCCATATATGAATTAGCGGGGGCGGGGGGGACGTATATTCCTGGGTTTATTTAATATTGTTCACAGAAGTGATTTACCTCCTTCCAAGTTACTAAAAAGTAAAACATCGAGAGAGAGATCAGGAATTTGTCTTCATTGTTATAGAAAGCTAAGCAATGCAAAGCTTTCATTTAAATTATAAGATAAAGGTCTGTATAAATGATGCTGGTTAAATGAAAGCATACTCCATTAGAAGTCTAGAAGAATATTCTAACTATTGAGCTGTTTTTCTTTCCTAAGTGATGAGCAGTTAAGTCCAGAGGCAAGCTAATAGTATTTATCATCATCAAGCAGCCTCTGTCCTTTGAGGAGAAAGATTAACTACCCCTGGTGGTTCACTGAAGAAAAAAAAAAAGACACCCTATGCCCCTCACAGAAAAAGCACTCCTGAATGGTGTGCCTGAGAAAGATGACAGAAACTTGTCTGCCCTAAAGATGTTATTATTTCTTTTCCTTTTTAAAACTAAAAGTAGCCGATAATAAAATTGAAAGACAAAAAGTCTACAGAAATAGAGTGAGTGGCAGCAAGTGACACTGAAACAAGACAGAGCAAAGCCTGGAGACTGCCCTCACAGTGCTCCCTGCAGAGCAGAAATCCCAGGACATTCGAGTTTCCTTTGCAACCCCAATTTCATGTCATGAAAAGGCAGTGGTGAAATGGCTGATTTACTTAGTGTGCCTGAGCCTCCTGTAAGAAAAAATTATAGAAGCAATGGGACATTTCTAATATGAAAGGGAGAACTGTTCTCATCGTCCAATACAAACCGCCTATTTCTGTACAACTTCCTGAAAATGAAATGTTCATTCTCTAGAGAATCACACCCAAATAACCTTTATTTCACACACTTGAGATATCACTGAATGGGAAGCCAGACATAAATACTACTCCTAAGAATTTCTTCATGAGTAGTAAGAGGAGGGTACAGAATAAATTGGGAGGAAAATGGAGAATGCACTGAAGTATCCCAGCACTACCAGCAGCTGCAACTTGCAGATAGTAACACAAACCAAACTACAGTCCTCTGGAGAAGCCCTTGGGCTTAGCCTAAACAACCTGCTAGCACATACTTGCATTCTACCTCTATGGTGGGGTTCTAGGTTAAAGTGGATTGTAGAGGAAAAAAAGTCTGAATTTCTGTGGGGAAAGTACAAAGTAAAACAATAAGACTTCTGCTGGAGTAAAAATTTTGTATTTTTCCGTGATTTAATAGGTATTTCCTCCTTCAGTTAAGGAGTCATTAATATAATTGTATTTCATTAGTATCCTTCCATTTCCTTGTACACAAAGTTACAGTCGATGGACTCCCACTTCGCTGTGAATATGACAGGACATGATGCTGTTCCAGATGGCATTTATATGGCAGACTACAGAAGTGGGATTTCAAAGATCATAGAGCTTACTCAGGTTAAAAGAGGATATTAAATATGGATTACTCTCTGGCTTAAATTATGTTTTACAGAACTACAAATGATATACAAAAAACCCCAATGTTTATTTAAATATTTTTTTGTGTGTCAGTCACTGTATCTTGACAGAAAGACCAGGAATTATGACCATGTCAAGAAAAGTATGGGGGTGTGGGTATGGCTGGAGAGATGGCTCAATGGTTTGACAGTACTGGCTGCACTTGCAGAGGACCCAAGTTAGATTCTTAGCACCCACATGGCAGCTAAGAATCATCCATAATTTCAGTTCCAAGGGAATCTGATGCCCTCTTCTGACCTCTGAGGGCATTGCATGATATGGATACACTTACATACATGTAGTCAATACACTCATACATATGAAATAAAAATGATAAAATATTTTTTTTTAAAGAAAAGCATAGAGCACTCAACACAGGTCTAAAACTAACTTCTTCACTACTGTATCATGAATTTAAAAATGTAAATATGTGCTCTATTTCCATTTTAAAATAAATAAATAAATAAATAAATAAATAAAAGCAAGTAAATCCATAAAGCACCAACAAAAGCCCTGCTTTGATTCCTTGTGACCACAATGTCTACTTACTCCTCACCTAGTCTCAGTGGAAAGTGACTCCTTTCCCAACAGGCCACTGAAAGCACTCCTGTCTAGGGCACGAATGAACTCTAGGTTCCCAAATCAAAGAGTCAGCTGTCTCCTCTGTAACTGAGTTCAGTTACATTATTCAGGATTTTCCATAGCTACTCCCTTAACAGAAATCCTTCTCTGACTGTTCTGATGTATTCCTGGTTTTCCCAACTCCTCATAATCTGGGTATTCACATACCCTAGGATTTGGTGCTGTATTCTCCTCTCTGTCCAGACAATCTCTTAGGTTCATTCTAGTCGCTTCCAGAGCATTGAAGATATTTGTCCTAAAACTTAATTATAGGTCCTCTCCACACATAAGACTGGGGTATTGTAGTTTCTTTTCAAATGCTTCTGACAAAACACTCTGACCAATACCAAATTTGGGCAATAAAGGGTTTATTTGGCTTATATCTCCTGGATCACAGTTCATCACTGAGCCCAATATAGGAACTCAGGACAGGAACCTTGAGACAGGAGCTAAAGCACAAGCCATGGAGGAATGCTGCTTACTGGCTTGGACTCCTGGCACATGCTCAGATTGCTTTCTTATATAATACAGAACAACCACCCACAGTGGGCTGGACCCTCCCACATCACTCATCAAGAAAATACCCCAAAGACATGGCCACAGGCCAGTCCAATAGAGGAAATTCCTAATTGAGGCTCCCTCTACCCAGGTGTGTCAAGTTGACAACTAAAGCTATCCAGCACACTGGGCTTATATTTTCTACTCAGAGAAATCTATATGACTGCCCATGAGACCTTCTATGTCATAGCAATAGTAGGGTTGCTCATCTATCTAATTAGACAATGTTGCTATTGAACCGTTTGCTGATGAATTCAGTGAGCAAAAAACTGTCCAACTTCAAGAGGTAAAACAGATTTCTCTCAAAGATATCCAGCCACATACAACAGAGAGAGAAGCACAGCAGGCAGTGGTTCAGCAGTGCCACTGACTTTCTGTTGTGCAGAGGAATAATATTACAATGGCCTTGGAGGCTGTATATTGGATTAGCTAGATAAAATCTATAAGGAAACCAGGAATTGCTTGTGCAGAATATGACTCTTCAAAAGCCTTAAGGCCACGTGATAAATGGTGTGGGGAAGTACATCGTGCACAGCAGGTTTGCACAAAAGGAAAAGGAAACAATGACATGTACATTTTAGAGCTAAAATTGGCCTCAAGGAGAGCTCAATCATAGCCAGTCTGAAAATGCACTGATCTCAATTTAGAATGTTGCAGTTGATTGAATGGAAACTAGTCTATGAAAAGAGCTTTTTGTCTATTGCTATGGGCTGACCTTTCTAAAAAGGAAAGGTTTAGGTTTGGTATAGTAAGATAAAACAATCTTCTGGCCAATATTGTAGTTTTCATCAATTTTGGTCTACATAAGCACTTTGCTTCCAACAAGGAAAAGGCTGGATGGATGGCAAAACCAATGTCTTTCTGTGAATTGATCAGAGACATGTAACCACCCTCCAAACTGTAGAGACAGGCACCAGTAGGGAGGTGAATGGGCATTTGCTTACCCAAGGAGGCAGAAAACTACCAGACCATGAGCTAGTATGATGATTAAACTAGAAATTTTGTTAAACAGCTGGAGGGTGAACATGTTCTGCTGTGAAAAGGGTAAAGGTCTTGGGGATCACAGATGGTCCCACTCTTCTTTCTATGCCTTTCCCTCTAGGATCCCCAATATGTTTTCACAAAGATGATCTGGGAGAATCTGGAGGAAGTTTCTAGCGTGGGCTGGCTAGGGAAGAGGAACAGCCACAATTGCAAAATCTGCTCAGTCCATTCTTCTTCTAGAAACTGAAGGCTCTATCTGCATGGTACCACCTGAACACTGGGAGGAGTCAGTGCTGCAGCTGCAAAGGGCACTCTACCACACCTGACCCCTCTTCCATCTAGCTAATACTGCAGGGAAGGGTTTAAGGTTGCAGGTTAAGATAGTGGTGGAAACACACCACAGGAGAAAGAAGGAAATTGAGGCACAAAAGTTCTATCTCTACAGTAGGAACAGAAATTCCTATGCCCAGTGTTGGGCACTCCAAAGGCTGAAATGTAATCAAAACACAGAATGTTTCCCTTCATCCATATCTTATCACCATCATTACAAACCTCCAATAACAATACTGGATTACAGCTGGAAGAAGTGTAGCTAGGGCGGGGCCTCTGTGGGGATCAGCACAAAGGGAAGACCCAAAGCAAGAAAAAGAAGCCAAATTTTCTAGTGAAAAGGGAAGTCCCTGGTCCCCATAGTAATAACAAACTTCAATAGCAGTAACCATAGCAACAACAAACTTCAAACAAAGCCCAACTACTACCTAGGTTAACACAATATCCACACTAAAACCTACTTGCTTATATTTCTACTGCCCTAAGTAAACACCTGGCTTTCAACAACATACATATATGAAGTAAAGAGTCTGAAAAGATAAAACAGTCATCAGAACAAGACACAGATATGACAAGGATGCCAAAGAGAGAACTTGACTAACGTACAACAGTATTAGAAGCTCTAATGGAAAAGATGGACATCATTCAGTATCAGGTAGGGAACTGTAGCAGACATGAAAACTGTAAGATCAAAATTTTAAAATGCTAGAATCAAAAACACATGGTTGCCTTTTGCTTCCTGGGCTGCACAGTCTCCAGGGTTCTGGTGCCAGCACCTTCCCTGGGTAAGTCCAGCACACCCACCGCACCTTGAC